GAGTTGGTCAATAACCCACCTGTCATGTTCTTTGACGAGCCCACAAGGTATGTTGTAATGCTGTTGTTTTTTTATTTAGTTTGATCTTTTCATATAATTAGATTCATTAAGCTGTGAGTACCAAATAGAATGTTTTTTTTAACAGTTAGAGAAATAAATTATGAAGTTGTGGGTAGCGGACAATTTTTTTCAATTGTTAAGAAAAGATATTTTCTTACTGTATTTTTTTATATTCTGCTGAAAATGTTTCAGCAATAGGTTCCTATTAGTAAGTTATTGAGACACTCATATTTACTCTTATCCATTACCAAAGTCTATAGAAATCCCATGTGATGCTGGAATAGTTTGATTCATACAGAATGCCACACAAAATAATCTGCTCTCTATTAACAGTGGTCTGGACAGCAGTAGCAGCTTCCAGTGCATCAACCTGCTCAAGACGTTAGCCCAAGGTGGTCGCACCATCATCTGCACCATCCACCAACCCTCGGCCAAGCTCTTTGAGAAGTTCGACTACCTGTATGCCCTGGCAGAAGGACAGTGCATCTACCGAGGAGCCATCCACGGGCTTATACCTTTCTTGGCAGCTATGGGCTTGGAGTGTCCATCGTACCATAATCCTGCAGATTTCTGTAAGTCGTGATTGTGGAATATCTTCTTCTGTAGTAACACCAGTGCGTTGATATTTTTGAAAAGAGATTCTTCAAATTTTATTGAAAACAATGATTTGAAAGATTCACAATACAAGAAAAGATTCCTGACCGCATCAAATCTTTTACAGTGATGGAAGTTGCATGTGGAGAGTACGGAGAATTCACTCACAAGTTGACAACGGCCGTCAGATGCGGGAAGTGTGACAACCTCGGCCCAGACAACCACCTTGGAGTCCGGGCAAAGCAGCATGTCATAGGTATTTACTCAGTTTGTTTTCACAAGTCATGCATATATTATTCATATGATGACTAGACTATGTCTGGATTTTTTATGCCATCAGCAATTAAAAATGTTATTATTTTGCATGTTGGTTATGTACTGTGCTTATAGTGGAAGAATAAGAAGACTAGGGTTGCTCTACAGAGATTGAGCCAAGGAAAATCCATCTTCTCAGAATTACTTAATCGGTTTATCATGGTTGTCAGGGCTTTACAACTGAAACCAGAATGCCTTCCAGAGCCTTAAATCTTACCTATCCTTTTGGAAATTAGTTTGATAGTAAATGTAAGTTCATACGTATCCCCCTCTCTTGCTCTAGCCCGAGAGCCAGATGATCACAGAGAGGCAGGAGGTGGCGGAGACCCATTAAACAGAGGTGGTGGAGGTGGAGGGGACAACAGGCCGGGTGAGACGAGAGTCAACCTCTCCTCCACACGGCACTCCCTTCTCGCCTCTGAGGATGAGAGCATCGATGACATCCCCAATTCATTCCCTACTTCTGGATGGAAGCAATTCGTCATTCTCTTCAAGCGCACATTCCTTTCTATCATTAGGGATGGGGTGAGTGAGCTAGAGATTTGTTTATGAGATTTATGGGAGGTGTTATTACCAGTTATGTATTATTAATGCAAATGTATAAAAAAAAATTGTTTTCTCTCTCTCTCTCTCTCTCTCTCTCTCTCTCTCTCTCTCTCTCTCTCTCTCTCTCTCTCTCTCTCTCTCTCTCTCTCTCTCTCTCTCTTTCTGCCTTCCTCTCTCCCTGTCCCTCTCCTTATCCCTCTCCCTGTCCCTGTCCCTGTCCCTCTCCTTATCCCTCTCCTTATCCCTCTCCCTGTCCCTGTCCCTGTCCCTCTCCCTCTCCTTCTCCTTATCCCTCTCCCTCTCCCTTTACCTCTTCTCCCTCTCCCATCCTGAATTTATTTTGACTTGTCCCTCATTTCGGTTTATTTTGCAGATGTTGACCAAGATGCGTATCTGCTCACACACACTCATTGGTCTGCTGATTGGACTCCTTTATTATAACATCGGAAATGAAGCAGGCAAAGTGTTCAACAACTCTGGATGTTTGTTCTTCTGCATGCTATTCCTGATGTTTACTGCAATGATGCCCACCATTCTCACTTGTAAGTTGTTTAAAGATTGTGTTTTTTGCTGGTGTTAACTTAATATAAAATAATTATGATATAAGTGTATTATAATTATCATAAAGTATAAAGCTGAAGAAAAAAACAGAAATTGAAAATTATATTGTGAATGATCCTAAGCTATGAAATTAAAACTAATTAAAAACAATAGATATATACGTTATTTTACTTAAGAAATTGTAAAGGAATGTTGCATGATATTTTCTAACTGCAATCTGCTAAAATCAGCAATCTCCATCTTTAAGAATTATCTTAATACTTGCTTACAGTACTTAATTTACTAACATTTTTTACAGTCCCTCTCGAGATGAATGTTTTCATACGAGAACATTTGAATTACTGGTACTCCCTGAAGTCATACTACTTAGCCAAGACAATGGCTGACATGCCCTTCCAGGTAGGCTACTGTTTTTTTTACCTTTGTCTGTTTGCCAGGTTTCTAAATGCAACATGACAAGATCCTTCATAGTTAAATGCAGACTATGATGCTTTTGTTAAGTACTATAAGGTTTCAGTGATAAAAGATTTCTTGCTTTCTGAGGCGAATATGGAATTTCAAAATTACTGTGTTTTTAGGGTTATGATATATGGGTTGAGAGATCCAGCATGAAAGTAAACTAGAAAAGGAAATTGACTGAAAGGGCAACTTAAATTATACCTACATTGTATATTGTAAAGATAATTACAACTTATAACCCCTTTCAGGTGATCTATCCATTACTGTACGTGTTACTGGTGTACTTTTTGACCGATCAACCCCTAGAGGCACACAGGTTCTTCATGTTCACCACAATGTGTATCATGACATCGCTAGTGGCTCAGTCTCTTGGCTTGGCCATTGGTGCTTGTATGAATATACAGGTAAGTACGTCAGTTGTATGCATGCATTGTATATAACTTTATTGGTGTCATTTCATCCATAGGGTTGACTGTTCTTAATAAACGTATACTACTCCAATATGAATCATCCATTATAGAGTCTATATATGCCATACTCAAAGGTTGATGTATCTTTGCAGTCCAAAGGAAAATATTATGAGGCTCTATTATTCTCAGTAACTGTGTTTGTTTGTTTTTTATTTGCTCTCCAAACTTACAAATTAAACAGAACTTGAATATACTGATATAACATTGCATTTTCTAATTCCCGGATATTTCACGTTTAGGGTGCTGTGTTCCTGGGTCCTATAACATCCATTCCTGTGTTGCTGTTCTCGGGATTCTTTGCTAATTTCTCAACCATTCCAATATATCTAAGGTGGATAACCTATATATCTTATGTAAGGTAAGTTACTAGCTCCACTCTTTTATATATATATGTGTGTGTGTGGGGGGGGAGTGTGGAGTGTGAAGTGTGCACATTTGTGTATATTTTTTGTTTTTACATGTATATTAGTAAATTTCCTCTGCAATTAAACCTCACATTGGAATTATTTAAGAGTTAAATTTGTATGATATTCCATTTAAATTACTTACAATGTTCAGAGCTATTGCAGACCTGGCCACCTCAGAATTAAAACCTCACTGACCTGAATGTTCTCCCTCCTTCTTCCCCAACAGGTACGGGTTTGAAGGGACACTCCTCAGCATATACGGGTTTGACAGAAAGCCGCTACATTGCTCGGAGCCTTATTGCCACTACAAGTCTCCCAATAAGTTTCTAGAAGAGATGGACATAGTGGGCGCAGAGTTCTGGATAGACTTCCTAGTGCTCTTCTCCTTTTTCATCATCCTTCGAACAATTGGCTACTTTGTGCTTAGGTGGAAACTTAAGGCTGAACGCTAGTGGAAATTCCATGTTTATATATATATACATAAATATATATTTATCACCCTAACTTTAATTTTTATATACAGTAAAAGTGTTTTTTCTGTGAAGTATATTAAAATACAATTTTTTCATCATCACTGTACTACAAGCTAGTTTACTCTTCACAAGAGTTCTATAAGAGTATAGTGGGATGCAGTGTCCACTTTGGTGCCTGATGTAGTTGCAACCTCAAAGACTGGACAATTGTGGCTAAAGTGGACAAGTGAAGTCTTTCAAGTGTATCATTTATGAGTAAGCAGAAAGACTGGAAAAAAAAGGTGCAAGTGAAACCAGTTATGGAACGAAAAGCGACATACGCAAGAAGAATTGTCAGTGAGGTGCAACCAAAAGGAACACACACAAGTGAAGTAGTGAAGGTCTTCCAAGCGAAGGTGTTAATGAGGTACAGGTATAGATGACTGAGAATGAGGACTTCACATGCACCACACTTGCTCTGATGATACCCACACAACACATTAATGGTCTAAAGTCACATACCAGCATCAGGAGGTGTCAACTAGATAAGGAGGAAAAAAAAACAAAAAAAAACGCAGCCTAGTTGTTATGATAAAAGTGCGTCGCTCTCATTTAACGCAGGCTTGATTCGGAAAGTCATTCAAAATACTCCTCTTTCATATGTTTAATAAGCACTGAACCTCAGGGTAAAGGAAACAAGTGAATGCTTACTATAAGTGTCCAGAAATATTTATGAAGGAGTCACATATGGGTGCAAGTTTAGCTCAGTAAGCCACGCAGTTTACCCCACTTGTATGTGTGGTCTCTGTTAGGTAATATGAAATGCATGTTAAGCTGTATTTTAATCTTATCAGCATGGTTCAGCACCAAATTCAAATCATTGATTTTTCTTTTTCTTTTTTCTTTTCAGTAAGTATAAAACTTTGTTCTCAAGTTATCAAATGTCTTGGAAGTAATACAAGAAATTCTTTCTTGTGATTAGCACAACAAAGATAGGATATAAACATATTTAACAAATTCTAAATAAACAAGAAAAAAGGAAAAAAAAAAAAAGATGCACCACTTTCATGTTTACATTATTTTCACAGAAATGAGTAAGAAGTACACTAGGTGCATTTGCTCAACCACTAAGACTCTTTGAATATCATTAAAATCTGAGGAAATAATTAGTCGTGGAGTTGTAGAGTTATTTAAATGCACTAAAAACATTCAGACTTCTCGGTCTTATTTTTGTCAGCATTTTATCTCTTTTTCCCATCAAACCAGTGATTTTGAGAAAGTTTACAAGTACTTTAAGGCTAAACAAGTTTTTTTTGTGATAGTAATGGTGATAATACATCATAGCTTGTATTTAATTAAAATATTAGGTTAACGTGTAGTTGTGCCTGAGAGTAAAAAGGGCACAATGTACAGCAGTGCCATAATGCAAGTCCTTTTTAGTAATACAGAGTAAGAATTTAAAAAAGACAAAAACACAAAAAAAGCATTGATTTTTTATATATATAAACATATAGAAATGTACACAATGATCTGCAAAATAGAATCAAATAACCAAAGGAAGCATTTCAGGAAAAGGCAAGTAAAGGGAATTAAGAAAGAAGAAAGTAAAAGTAAAATAAAATAAAAAGACATGTGAAAGAGCACTCAAAAGTGAACTTCAGGTACATGATGGTATTAAGTGCCCAAACCAAGCCCTAGAGAGGAAAGCGTCTCTCGACCTGAGGCTTGTCTTCCGTTTTCGTTGATCCACTGCTTTAAATTTAGGCAGTTTGTGAGCTTAACTAGCAACATTGGGCATTTTTTTTTTCCTTCTTCTTCTTCTGCAGATGTGTCTCTGTAGTACGTTTGATTACTGCATTCCCCTTCTTGTTGATAAATGAGTAAAAATACATACTTGTAGACTTTATAGTTGTATCAAAATTAGGTAGTATCAGTCATAGGCACTTTCTTCTTATTGACATAATATGAGTACATTTGTTTTCTCCATCTGCAATCTTTTTAGGAGCCTCTAAACTCTGAATATTTTTATATCAGAGGGTTAATGGTATTGCTGCAGCTGTGATTTGCCAACATTTTGGGTATTTGCCAAGCATATTGTTTATAACACCTAACATGGGTGAAATATTACAAGTTGTGATTATTGTACAACACTTAAAAAAGAAAGAAAAAAAAAGCATTTATAAAAACTAATGAACATTTAAGTAAACTGCCATTCTTGAATTGGAGATAGAAGTTCTGTCACTCTAGAACACAGATGGTTATAAGGATTATTTATAAAGACTTTGAACAGTAATCTCTTGCACATTTTGCCTATCCAACCCAACTTGCCACAAAGACTTCTTCCGCCCTCACGCTCAGTGGGTCACTAGCGCATCATCTGGTGGGACAGACCCTGAATTCTTTCCTGACAGCTCCTCTGTAACTTGTGCTGAAAACATATATATATGTATATTACCAAATACAAGGAATCTTTTTATGAGAGCTAAAGCTAGAATTAGTTCACTGAATTTGTCATGCTTCTTTATGAATGAGCTAAAGTGAATGGCTAATCATAAACACTTATTCACCTCCGTGAAGAAGCTAGTTTAACAATTGTGGAATTCAATCAGAAAAGAACAATAACAGCTTTCCTTCAGTCAAAGTTCTTAGCTTTCAACTTCAGAACACTACTATCGTACAGTAATAAACACATGGAATTTACAAGCAGATCATAAACTTCTCAATTGAAATCACAAGGAACGAGTTCTGTGTCCAGTCAAACAAGACCCTGTCTGAGCCTGTCATTTCCGTATGTTTTCACCCCAGCATAACCCATGCAGGGTGGTTGTTAACTCTATGCATTGTGCCTCTCATGTGTAGCCTGTAAGAACTCTCAAAGAACACACACACATTCTCTGGGTCCATTACTCTAGATCTTTGACAAGTGTTAGCTGATGGAAGCCAAACAAAGGGAGTCCACAGAAGGCTGATTTCTTGATTAATGTTATGGGAAGAAAGTAGCAGGAAACAGGATCTTGAACTTGAAGATCACTGCTGATTCCAGTAAGAAAGATTTCACCAAAAAAAAAAAATATATATTATAATATCATTCTGTATCTTATTTATATGTTTTAACTGTTTACTTCAACTTGTTTTCATTTTCATTTGTTTTTGTTTTTTTTATCAATGAATATGTGCCTTTTGAATTCCCTGTATGAGGCAAAGTCACTGAGAGAGTCACATTTGTACTATTAGTCAGATATAGAGCCATAAGTCTTTGAGTAGACAGGTCGTGTTTTATTCCTGACCATGGAGTTCTCTTGTGCTGATACCTATATGTTTCTTAGAGATGTGTTTCCAGTATACCATCTGATGTGTTTGTTTTGATGTGGGCCTAGGTAGCTTCCAGAGATTTGTAAAAAGAAATGTAATAATTATTATGATTAATTTAAGGCTAGATATAATATGATGAAGACTGATGATATTCCAAGATAGGGAATGCTGACTGATCCTGGCTAAAAGGCAAGTGGTATTATGTTGGTTGTTTTAAAGAGATTTAAAATGTATGGTGATCATTCAGAAAAAAAATTCTCAACAAATATTTTTCTGTGACTTTTTTGTCAGTTACACAAGAATTTTCACTATTTGATTAAGACA